CCCCCAAACCCACATCCACACCCCCCACCACACCCACTCACACCTACACACCCACATATGCCCACACACAGCAACACCCAGACACCTATGCAGACACCCACACACCCAACAAATCCACACCCAAACACCCACACACCGACACCCAAACACACCCACACACAACCCACCCACATACACCCAACAAATCCACAAACGACCAGACACCCACAGACACCCAAACACCCGCAGACACCCACACTCAGATACGCAAACACATCCACACACACCCAACACACCCACAGACACCCACACACCAGATACCCACAAACACGCACACCCAGACACCCACACACCCACACCTACACACCCATCCACACCCAGACTCCACACCCACTCACACCCACACCCACTCACCCAGACACCCACACACCCAACACACTCAACTGACACCCACACACCCAGACACCTACACACCCACCCACACACCCAGACACCACACCCAGACACCCATAAACACCCACACCGATACCCACACACCCACCCACAGACACCCATACCCAGACACACACCGACACCCACAAACACCCACAGATACCCACAAACACCCAGATACCCACACCCACACACCCACCCAACACACCCACACCCACACACCCAGACATCTACAAATACCTACACCCCCACACCCACCCACCCACACACTCCCACGCCGACACATCCACAGCCACACCCCTAGAGCCTGCAGGGGGTCCATAGCAAGAGGCAAGGCCTGGGGGGCGACGGGCACCCACCCGGGCAGGTGCCCGGCACAGAGAGGCTGAAGAGTCCTGGTGGGAAGGCCTGGGCCGCCCATACACACAGGTGGGAGGCTCTGAGACCCACCAGGCCAGGCCTGCAGGGCTCTGAGAAGCGAGTATTTTCATGGTAGGGATGTGGACACCCCCAGGGGAGCCTGGTGACTGACCGGCTCCAACCAGCTCCACGTCTACCTCCTAGGCCCACAGCTGCCAACGGGGCAGGCACAGCAGAACACCTGGCCCTGAAACACAAAACCCCTCCTGGCACAGGCCCAGCCTCTGCCCCCACCCTGTGGGCCACGCAGGCCGCCGCTGATGACGCAGGCCAAAGTCCATAATACTGTTAGGGCTGCAGAGGGGCCGTCCCAGTGGCCAAGGGCCTGTCAGCCCACATGTGTGGGGCACCTGGAGAGGCCCTGAGCAGGTGGGCAGGCCCTGTAGCAGGGTCCCAGGTTGGTGGCCAGAGCGGTGAGGACAGGGCCAAGGCTGTGGGCAAGAGCAACGCAGGCGCTGGCCTGGGATGGATGGCGAGGGGGACCCAGGCCATCCCATACAGGGGCCAAGCGGGGGACCTGCAGGCCCCGCTGTTTCTCGCAGGCTTCCCGAGTGCCCTGCGCAGGGATGTTTCTTGTGTCAGGCATCAGCCTGGACACTGTGGAAGCAGCTTCCTTCACACCCACCCTTGCTTCTGGCCACCGGCACTCCCGAGCTGACAGGAGTCACAGCCCAAGTCCCGTGCTCCCGAGGCAGCCACTGTGGCCACGAGGCAGGAAGCTCAGGAGCGCCACCAACTGCCCTGGGCTGTACCTGACACTGGCCAGTACACCTTTAACTTCTCCTAAGTCACCGATGAACCCCGGAAATGATTTCAGCTGAAAAACCCCAAACTCCCATTTCTGTGCTGGGCCTCAACAGAAGACGCAGAGGCAGGTGGAGTGAGGGAGCCACGCCCAGACAGCCACGGGGCCTCGGCGGTGCCCGGCTCCACTCCGTGCCGTCGGCCACCCTGTGCTCACGCTCGCTGCCTTGGGGTGCCCGGCTCCACTCCATGCTGTCGGCTGCCCTGTGCTCACGCTCGCTGTCCTGGACCAGGCGATTCCCCAAGGCTGTGACCATGACGTGAGTGGCCCCAGCTATCTTGGGATGACACAGGCGGGCCCCGGGAGGGTGCAAGCTGGAGGGGGCTGGGGGGCAGCAGGTTCGGGCAGGCTGGACGGCACAGTCCGCGGCAGGGCCAGGGGGAGTGGGGGCAGTGCGGGAGGGTGGTGGGGCCGCCAGGACCCGCGCTTCCTCTGCTTGGCCTACACAGTCTCTGGCCCGGAGAGCACAGGTAAGCAAGGCAGGATGGCCATCACCCACGGATGAGCAGCGGACAACTTTCTCCAACTGCCACCCACGTGCCGACCCTCCAAAGAACGTGGGGTTTCATTGGCAAACACTTTTAGCAAACTTGCCACTATCATCACATAGAGCTCCCAAAGTTGCCCCAAGGGCTTGTAAATTACCTAAGTACACACCAAAAACTTTTTAAAACAATCTAAGTGTCGGCCAGGCGTGGTGGCTCATGCCTGTAATCCCAGCACTTTGGGAGGCCGAGGCGGGCGGATCACAAGGTCAGGAGATGGAGACCATCCTGGCTAACACGGTGAAACCCCGTCTCTACTCAAAAATACAAAAAAAAAAAAATTAGCTGGGCGTGGTGGCAGCGCCTGTAGTCCCAGCTACTTGGGAGGCTGAGGCAGGAGAATGGCGTGAACCCGGGAGGCGGAGCTTGCAGTGAGCCAATATCACGCCACTGCACTCCAGCCTGGACAACAGAGCGAGCCTCTGTCTCAAAAAAAAAAAAAAAAAAAAAAAAAAAATCCAAGTCTCAAAAAGCCTGTGAGGGTCACTTCTACGGACTTGAGTTTCAGGCCTAGGACGCAAAGCCTGGCGCAGCGGCCAGGGCTCGTTCCAGGCTCCTGCCGGCTCCAGGATTCTGGGAAGGGGCAGACTTTGGGCCCGCTGGAGCCCCTCTAGGCCCAGGGTCCACCCCACAGACCCTGCAGGCTGGGGCCACTCTCCAGGGAGAGGTGTGCTGGGAGGCTTTGAGCCGACGCTGTCAGGGCAAGAGTCTCTCTCCTAACATGACGGCTTTCGGACACAGATGGGACGGGCCCTGTGGAAGGAAGCACTGGCCTGTCACAGATGTGTAATGTCTAAAGCCGGCATCTCTGGACCATCCCAGTGCAAGCAGAAAACCGT